TGCTTACTCACTGATCTGCACTGAACACTTTCCCTTGTTACCATCCCGAATAATTGTAGGGCAAGGTAAAATTACATTTTTAATGGACAAAAAAAATTTTGGGTAGAAATGCTTGTAAATTAAAAAGCTAAATTCATACCTTTAGTGATTATGACTTGGCTAAAAAATTAACCTATTAAATTGTGAAGGGACCATGTATGAGGGTTTTTTTTTTCTTTTTCTTTTCAAAAAGAATGTCTAGGCATTAGAGTTATAAATTGGTTGAAATTTGGTTGAAAGTGGGTACATAGTAAAAGTCAAATGACAAAGTAAGATAGGAAAAGGAGAAAGAGTAAAAAAGTAAGGGAATTTCTGGTGAATATTGGTCAGGAATCTTTTAAATATTAAACACAGAGAACGAGAGAAATAATATAGCAGAGGAACTTCAGAAAATTTGGGAGAAATAAAAGATTAGTGAATAAAAAATGGAAAGTCACTCATACATAAGGTATCAATGACAAGGAAAAACGAGAGTTAAAGTACTCAATGAAGGTGTGCATCTGATTATTTATTCTTTAAGTTCTGCTACTGACTTACTGAATACAAATCATCTACTGGGTGTGAGGTAGCATGGTAGGCACTGGGGGTACAGCACTGAGAGGGTGAAAGTCCTTGCTATGAGAGAGTCCATCAGCTAGGAAAGTTATAACTTCAAATGAAGAGGTAGTGTTATGACTTCTGGTAATAAAGGAAGGAAGATGAAAGGTATTTTTACTCCTTTTCTCTCCTTCTAACACAGAGAAATCAACAAAAATTATGAAACATGGGGAAAAACATCAGATGCAATAAAACAAACAAGCAAACAAAAGAACCACTGTTCTTACAAAGCATGAAGTGTGCAATGACTAAAATTCAGAAAGGACACTGAAAGTTGATAGATTCCTCAAATTTCAAAACAGATACCAAAAGTTTTCCCAAAAGTAGTATCAGATTTCTAAAGGGTACATGCAATGAGCCTTTGATGACAGTGACAAGACTTACAATATAAAATGGGAACTTCCCTAGACAGACCCATTTGACACCACAAAACAGAAAGAGAGGTGGAGTTAGAAGGAAATATGATGGTGATATTCTGTTTACAACCTCACCTTCCAACCAGAGATAACAACACTCCTTGTCTGTTCCTTCTCTATAGAAATCCCAAGAGAGTAAGGGGTAAAGGAAATAAACAACAAAGCTGTCATTTCCTAGAAAATTCTTTTGTGCAGAAAGAATATGTCTTTACACTTCACACTAATTGTAATTTTCTCTCAGATGGCTATTCTGGTGAAAAGTACTTGCATTTTTCAAGTCCAAAGAAGGAAATATTGAGTAATTTCAGAAATTGATTAGATGGCCCCAATCTAGGCACGTATTTAGGTTTCCAGGATACAATGATGAGGGAATGAGAAGAGGAGCATGGCCAGATTATTAATACTTCCCTGGCCCTTGTATTGTTCTTAAGAACTAAGACCTGTCTTATCCATGAAAATTCAACCCAGAGCATAGAAAAAGCAATTCAGTGACATTGGATGCCTACTAATAACTCCACATGGTATTAGAGTCAATATATAGAGGTCTCTGCCAGCTATCGAAGGAGCTCTGGTGGTGCACTAGTTAAAGCATTCAAACTCACCAGGCGCTCTGTGGAAGAAAGTTGAGACATTCTGCTTCTGTAAAGATTTACAGCCTTGGTGACCCTATAGAGCAGTTCCATTCTGTCCTAGGGGGTCATTATGAGTCAATTGACTTGATAGCAGTCAGTTTGCTTTGCTAGCATTAGAGCTGGCAAATATGAATAAGGGTCATTGGGTGACTTTTAAGGACAAATTTCTGGTTCTACCTACATTGGACTTTGGACTTTGGTGCATATGCTATCCCAGGTCACTGGGTTCTTGTTTCTCCCAGAAATCCAGCTGGTAAATGAAAGGTTTGAATTTGAATTAGGTAAGTGACTTTTACTGCCCTCACAGTCTGAGGTATACAAGAGTCCTCTCAGTCTTCATCTAACTGTTCTGGATATTATGGATTGAATTCAGTCTCGCCAAGTACATGTTGAAATCCTAACCCCTGTACCTACCTGTAAATCTAGAAATAGAGGTTTCTCTTTGGTTGTGTTAATGAGGTTTTTCAATGTATATATTAGGTGAGATAGATCCTACACTTAATCACTTCTGAGTTATGAAACGACCAGCACAGACACAAAGCCACACACAGGGGAGAAGACTGATACCATGTGAGGACTGTCTATAAGCCGAGGAACACTAAAGAACTGTAGAACACTTGAAGCAACCAATAAAGAAGGAATGGAGATAGCTTAGATTCTGATCTGGACTTTAGTCTCCAGAACTGTGAGAAAATGAATTTCTATTCTTTAAAGCCACACACTTGTGGTGTTTGTGTTACAGCAGCACTAGATGGGCAATCTACTTCCATAGTGATACCATCCCAAACCCAAGGAGGGGTCACTATGAGTCGAGTCCAACTCAACAGCACATAACAACAACAGATAACTAAGACACTGGGTTAAAATCTATAGAATCTCATGGGACACTGCCCTTCAAAGACTTCATGGTTGATGTGTAGACATGGATAGTTAACAGATTTGTGAAGGAAATTGAAGTACTGAGGGACACCAATTGAAAACAATGAAAAATCAATGAAGCCAGAAGAGTTCTAAACATTAAGTGGCATTTACTTAAGTGATATTAGCTAATGGTGCAGCTGGGGAAGGGAAGAAGTATGAGCTAATGCTCATAACTCAAAAATGCTAAAATGGTCATAGACCAAAGGACCACACATTTCAAATCTGAGTTGCATAAGACCTCCCATAATGAACCACTTCTTTTCCTCTCAGAAGTCTGAAATGAGACACAAGTTTCTTTTGAGATTAAATACCCTCCGAGATCATACTCACAACCCCAACAGGGAAGGCCAGCACAGCCAGCACCCAGTCCCGGAGAGCTATCAGCTTCTTTAACTGCCTTTCTTGCTCTTGGCTCCCACTCCCTCTTGTCAGAAGACTGGAAAGGTCAGTCAGTACACAGATTCCAAAGAAGGCAGCCTGGATAACCTGTAAGGAAACAACAGCCATTATTAGTCAATAAGGTCTAAAGTGACCATGCTAGGGAACTGCAAGCACGCCACACATCCATGACATATAACACAGGATGAGAAGCACATATAAGGGAATCGCCCTACAAACAAACAAATAACAACAAAAACCAGCTCATGCTGGTGGGTCGATTCTGACTCACAGCCATCCCATGAGTCTCAGACTAGAATTGTGCTCCATATGGTTTTCCATGGCTCATTTTTCTAAGTTTATTACCAGGCCCCTCTCCCAAAGCACCTCTGAGAGGACTTGAACTTCTAATCCTTTTGTTGGCACCAGAGCATGTTAACTGTTTTCACCACCCAGGCACTCCACAAACTAAAAAAGGGCAAGATACTTAAAATTTGATATCATATGTGAGATAACTGATCTTAACCATACTACTTCCAGTTTTGTTTACTCAGGACAAATTTAAAAATGTACACACAGACACACACACACACACACACATATCTAAATAGGCCCAACAGAATGCAGTATCAATTATCAAATGGAAGTTTCCACTGATTTAAAACATTACAACAAAGTCCATGACTGAATTATATTGACTACAGTTCAGGTTATCTAAGAAGTGAAAAGAAAAGGATTGGAGTATTTGTTGAATAATAAGCATGACAATTTTATCTGATGGTGAAGAAGTCTTTCCTATGGTTTAAGTTTCTTAAATCTAGAATTTTTTTCCACCAAAAAGAGTGATAGAAAGCTTCTTGTCCTTGAGATACAGAGAAATCAACCGAATGCAATAATCACGAATCTGATATGAAGCAATTTTCTCCAGTCAAAGTTGGACTAAATAACCTCCTTCTCAGATTTTCAGTTTTTCTGAAACAAAATCTTTCCAAAGTAATGTCAACATAGATACCCTATGCCATTTTCCAAAACAAATCTACCAGCTGCACATTCTCAAATCGACTACAAATTGAATTGCTTGCATCACCTCTTTTGTTTGGACTCTCACGATCACAGGGGAGAATAGTGAAACATTACAGCACAATTATTTCTGCAATTCCTGAAGTAAGGGAAAGGTACTGAAGATCAAGAGCCGTGAATGGAGGTGGGCAGTATACTGTGGCACACTGTAGCAAACGGTAATTCAAATTATGGAAAGATTGGAAGATATGTCCCGAGCTCACTGTCATACCCATTAAGCACCAGCATTTGAGTTTAGGGGAATTTTTTGGCATTTCTACTAGACATATTTTGCTGATGATGTATTTGGAAAAGATATAATTTTACTAATTATTCTTTAGAAAATATGACAAATACTTTTTTTGGTAAAGTTCTATGTTGGTATTGGAAGAAAACTGTGAAAGCTCTGTGGATGGTTTTCTGTTTGAGACGGAGATCAAAAGGAAGAATGGTCCTCAGAGTTACCTGGTGTCTCCCCTTGTCTTAGCAACGGAACACTCAAATTGTCAATAAATCAATTCAAACTCTTACCCAAAACACTTTGAAATTTCCCCAAAATGAAGAGTCCCTCATCTTGCTAGTAAACTAAAGCAGAGTAATGTTCTTTTTCCCTCATAACTTAGGCCATCTTTTACCTTCAACAACTTAGGGGTGTTTGTCCTTTCTACAGCCCCCCCCCCCAGAAAAAAAAAAAACAGAGTAGGAGAATGCAACATGCATCACTGAGCATGATACATTAAAGTATTGGCATAATAATGTTGTGAAGACCAGAAATAGCTTACCTAACTCATTGACTAATTTCATACTTCGGAACATTTTCTACAGCATATTTTAGGACTATAGCAGTTTGAATCTTTATGGCAGCCCTAAGAGGGTTTTAGAAATTGGAGTGATCATACAGGGAATAATAAACTCCATACTAATCTGGCCAGAAGGCATATTAAAATGTGCCTGACCTCATCAATAAGCAGGGAAATGCAAATTAAAGTTATAATGAGATAGCATTTCTCATCAATATAATTATTCAGTGGAGCTCTGGTGGCGTAGTGCCTAAGGTATTTGACTGTTAACCAGAAGGCTGGCAGTTCAAACCCACCAGCCCTCTGCAGAATGAAGATGAGGCAATCTACTTCCATAAAGATTTACCACCTTGAAAACCCAGTAGGGGTCACTATGTGTCAGAATTGACTCAATGGTTGTGAGTTTTTTTTTTTAAGTTTATGATTATTTGAAATTTAATCCTGACAATACTAAGTATTGATGAAGATATGGAGCAACCAAAAATCTTATGGTGAAAACGCTAATTCTTTGAAGAATTTTGAAGAACAAATGGCAATATCTAGTAATTTAAAGATGTATATAAACCATTTTCTACAGATATTCTCACACGTGTGCACTAGTGAAATCTATATAAAAGTTAATGGCAGCATTCAATGCTTCAAAACAAAAAAAGTTGAAACAACCTGAATATCTCTTAATCATTGACTGGATAAATTGTCCTATGCAAATGAAAAGCCTATTGTTCCAAGGTTCTTATATTACATATAAGACAGTATAGTATTGTTGACAGAAGGCTGTGATAAGTTAAAGGTGCATATTGTAAATCCTAAAGCCACCATTAAAAAAATAAAAGAGTTTTAGCTAATGCATTGTTTATTACAATGTAAAAAAATTAGCACAAATTTAGTGGCTTAAAATATGACAATAGGATTGAGGTTTATGTTTCCTCGTTGGTTGTGAGCAGGTCACTCTCAGCTACTGGCATCCACTCTCCACTTCTTGCACGTTGCCCCCTCCATCTGTAAAGCCAGCAACAGTATGTGGAATCCTTTCCATGCTCTGGATCTCTCTGATTTTCTCTTCTTTCCTTTGCTGCCATCAGCCTATGAAAGGTCTCTACCTTTATGGGCTCATGTGACGCGATGAGTCCCACTTGGCTAACCCTCCTTTCCTAAAGCCAACTGTGCCATAGAACATAACAAACACAGTCACAAGGATGATATCTCATCATATTCATAATTTCTGGGGATTAAGGGAACCATGCTAGAAATTTGTTTAGATGCTTTTACAGATATGTAAAAAGAAAAGGAAGAGAAAGGACATTAAAATGAATAAGAGAAAGACAATCTAGGAGAGGAGAGAAATAAAATAATTTTGCAAATGTAAATATAACAGCTTAAATATATTTTGTCAGATTTATTGATTAATGGTATGTACAAAGGAAATTTTCTACTTTTCAGTAGTTGATTAGTCTTCCTCTTATTGAATGGTGTCACCTAACAGTAATCCTCTCACAATTGCCTGGTGATTATTCTGTCAGTGACTGTAGCCCTCTCAAGAGCTCTGTCCTATTTGAAACCAAGTATGGCCCATCTTAACTGAACTGCTGAGGAAGACGTCAACAAAGTGAGTATAGAAAGATCAGGTAAGAGAGGTATAATAAAACAATTTTCTTCTCATTTCCAAAAGGAGAGAGGAATTATTATTTGTTTGCTTATGTTTATAGCTTTAAAAAAAAAAAAATCTACGTTGGCTAATCCTCAAAAAATAATCTCTAAAAATTATGAAAGAGTCTACCATTTTTGGAGAGAAACATGGATTAACATTTGATTATTTGCTTATTTAAGAAGCAGTTTGTTAATACCATTAAACTACTTTATATTTCAGCCAGTATTGTTAGAGTTTAATTTGCGCTGACAGTTAAATCATAGTAGAGATATTTTGTTTTTCTATTGCCTATGTGTACCATACTTTCTACTGCAACTTAAAATTCATTAAGCTAACAGTTAAAAATGTAAAAGTTATACAGAGATGCACAAGTAGATCTTAAGCAGGATTACTTTGATGTATCACTTGGCTCCAGTCATCTTGCAGACTGGAATTTTCAGCCCATCAACTCAGCATGACACATATATACCATCTGGCTTTGAGTTCTTAGCAAGCTGGTTGCTCTTATAATTTTGTATCCCATGTAGAAACGAAATGGTCAACTGTACCTTACCTCTCCAAAAAATGTAAGTAAGAACTGATCAGAATTTAAAAAAAAAAAAAAACTTTTCCAGGGTATTTTGGAATGATTTCGATGTTTGCTCCTCTAGAATGTTCTCTGCTGTTTAACTCTTTCTACTTTTTCTCACCACCCCCTCCACTTTTCCCTTTGGGAAATCACAGCTGATTGCATAAGGATGAAAATGGACCTACATTCCATTCATATCTTTGTGTTTTTGAGACGTGAGTGGTTTGATTAAATTCATATAGTATTTTCCCCTAGATTTTAGATTCTCTAGAATGCATTAAAATATTACAATTCTGTCTATGCTATAGAGAAAATTGTTAAACTTCTACCATTTATTCCCCTAAGATATGATAGCATGTATTCACAGTAGGTTTTAGTTCATTCTATTAGATTATCTTCAATATCTTCAATTAAATTCAATTGCATAAAAGCTACATTGCATATAGGTTATGTCATTACTTTAATTAGTTGGAAACTTTTACATTTTAGACTAACTGGATGTTTTTCCTCAGGCAATATCCAGAAGGCACCAAAGCAGGAAAATCAGCACATTAAGTAAGGAATGAATTAGTTATTTATATGAACTTAAAGATAGTCACAATGCAGTAAGGTTGAACTAAAGTTTCAGTGGCTGGTATCTAGGGTATACCATGTTTTGATTATGTTATACTTTCATGAGACTGGGGAGCTCTGGTGGCATACTGCCTAAAGCATTTGACTACTAACCAGAAGGCTGTTTGTTCAAACCCACCAGCCACTCCTGGGAAGGAAGACTGGACAATCCACTTCCATAGAGATACTGCATCGGAAACCCAAGGAGCGGTTGCTACGAGTTGGATTCAGCAGTAAGTTTGTTTGTTTGTTTTTTCCCCCATAAGATTAACTGTAAAGCACACCATAAAGCTTATGATTGTGCATATTTTAAAGTTAACTTTAGTCACGGTAGCTAGAAGAAACAAGAAGACCAAACTCTGAAGGGCAGAATAGAAATTGGAGTGATGTGCACTGTGGAATGAAGGAAAACTAGAAAGAA